CTTACTCAAAACTATAATGTACAAAAAATTGCATTCAACGCTGGTAAATTAGTTCTTTTTCACTATTGTGAAAAATTGTCAAGTACATCATATTTCAACAGGCGCCGTCAGTTTTAATCCCATATGATTTAATATCCGCCTAATCAGTGAGCTGTACGATCACAGTTCATGAGATTTGCCAAACATTGGAGTGTGTGAGCTTGCAGAAGTGTGATAACCACTGTCAATAGTGGTTTAGGCCTTAGTCCTCGTTACAAACACTTTGGCATTATTAGTGACTTGCATCCGGTCCACCGCGTTTCAAAAAATACATCCGTATCGAGAGTTATTCACTGTTTCTAAATAGAACGGCTACCGTTCTTTTTAAGCTACTAACCGACATGATCTTATGGGTGCTGTAACTGAGCTATGGCGCATTCTTGATTTTCTCTCTGGCCACCAGTGACCTCATATCTGGTTTCCCATTGTCGGCAAATATAAGCTCTTGTCAGTCTAAGGTTCCAAAGACATTTTGGAATCTACCCCATGCAATTCATATCTTTGCAATATAACCGAAACAAGAAAAAAAAGAAAAAACTGGTGCGGAGTAATGAACGCAATCGGAAATTTGCGAGTACAGATACGATACATTTAGTTAAAGTTGAAATCATTTCCACCAAATCATTTGTGTTTATGTTTACAATTTTGTCCTTATTTCGTCAATGATTTGATTTGATCCACACATTCATAGTAATGAACAGAACTTACATTTACATCATACTGAGGTAGTTCAGTCGAGCTTCAACCATCCTATCGTGTTCGTTGTACGATGTTTACCAATGGACTTCATTTGTGCACCGGAGAGACAGGTAACAAATCTGCTATCCAACTATGCCATAGAATACAATGGGACCAGGCGTGGCAAGAAACCGGACGGTGCTACTACTACTTTAGCTGGATAATGATAGTAGGGTTCTAACCCTGAACGAGAGTAGCTTTACATTATTTGTACACAACCGGAATGGTTTGAAATGGAGTTGATTTACAGCGAAACCAAACACCCAAGTACAGTAAACAGTAAAGAAACTTTTGAAACGCAGACCACTGATGAGAATCAACAAGGTTGTACAGTGAATGAGTTTTCACATTTCTTGCATACAGGCAAATTCTTCAAATGATTAAATCAAAAGTTCCACGGCTTTATTTGTTTAAACTGTTCGTTGTTATGCGTTTTCGATTTTGACCCAGAACTGAGCCATCATTATTCTCATTATTAGAAGTTCCTCACTCTGTGGAAACATTGTACAGTTTTAGGAAATGTGCAGTANCCCGAATTGACCTCCCACTCGCATTGGCAGAAACGCATTTCGGTTTTCCCTTGTGCGTCTGTGTAAGAGCTGCACGCAGGGTAGCAAATGCGATCATCTCAGAAAATGGAAGATTGTGACGCTCGTCTTATGCGTGTCTGATTTCTCGTTCGCGCGAGTGAATACATTCCGAGTAATAAAACGGAATCATGAGCATTCTTCACAATGTCTGCCATCGTCGTTCTTGTGGCAGAGCAACTTATTTCCATGGTAGATCTAATATCCAAACCAGTAGCGACCGATTTGAGTGCATAGGTTGTTTAAAATTATCTTTCTTTAGTTTGGTTTTGGTTTTTCTTCCCATTTTGTGCGACCTGTGATTGATAGTCTACTGTGTACAGAAAGCTGTCAGACCCGAGGCAAAACAGCGCAACAAAAAGTCATAACACATCGGGAAAAGGTCGTTGACAGACTTATTTTCCCCCCGAGAATTGTCACATCCAAATTGTGAGGAGTGTCCGTCAATGAGTTAGTTATTCATTACTTCCTGTCCTCCAAGTTCAAACCGAGAGACACCATACTTGTCACAATGGGACCATGCTCAGTAGATCACCTCAGGTTTTGAAACTCTTCCGGGCACACTGTGACACACCACTCCCAATCAAGTATGATGCGCAATGATCAATCAATACTTCGAACCGTTCGCCAACTTCTCGACTCCACCCACTGATTGCACACCGTAACTGCTGTTTCCATTAAAAGATCTGGAAACGGGGTTTTTGACCGGCAATTCTCAAGGGGTCTTCACCTGTTTATTTGTGGTCTCCTTGGACACACACACAAACTGTATGTTTCCCCATCACTCTATCCTTTGCATTCAATTGCACTCTCGTTGACTCTTGTGATTTTTTTTCTCATTTGCTCGTTTTCTGCTCCATGTCCAACAATCCCTGATGACAACTGTCCAACAGACCGGATATGGAACTCGCACTGATCTGCCGCAGTCGATAACGTATTTGCGGACACGAGCATGAGGTAGCCACGCAGGGGACAAGAGTGGACCGATGAGGAGAGCGGAGTGCCGTGGGGGAGGTATTGCGTAGGAAAGTGAAGTTTGATTCCGAAATGGGGACAATTGTAATGTGTGTACACCTTCGTGTTTTGTTCGTGATTAACTTGGAGCAACAACAACTATTACTACTACTGGTTGTGTTTGAGTCATCCGGGAAAATTATCAGAGAGTATTTGCTATTCACACATTCTTTTGTATAGTCCATATAACTCCCACTGTTACCAACCCGTGGCGAACTTTAAACAGTGCAATTTTGGAAAGAGTCACATCCAACGGGATTCGCATTTGGTTTCCACCAATGATTGAATTGTCATACTGTTCTACAACGTTAACTATACTAATAGCAATATAGTTGGCCCGTACGACAGAACATCCTCGGGGCCAGTCAAATTTATTCGGTTAGGGATGGTAATTGCTCTTGACCATGGGTGGGGGCTGAGCCATTCATAAAATAGCAAAAAAGTTCACGGACAGTGCATATATATATCTTTGCCTACCGAACTCCCCGAAGTGGTTAAGGTATATTACGTGGACCAAACGCTGTGCCCAGTTTTGTTTTACTTTATGAGGAAGGAATCTCTTATTCATGATTTGCCGTTTTTTTTATTTTCAACCGCAAATAGTTTCTTCTTCATTGGGTGTGCTTCAGAAATGAATGCCACGCAGTACAGTATTACAGACAGTTCTGATAGTTTTGCTTTGAATAGACCTTTTTGACACTCGGCAAACCACCTTTTCTTCCTCTTTGTCCGACTCGTCCATTTCCTACACTATCATTTTTGCATCTTCCACACGCACGTCATAAACGATATAAAAATGGCATACCTATGGTCGCACACCAGTCCTTTTTTAGCACCCTACGTGAAAGTAAGGTCAACCGTTCCTCGTAACTACTGTTTGATTTATCCAAGTTCCCGGGGGGGGGGAGAGTCTTTTATCAAGAACAATCAAACTCGCATGACGTAAAAATACATTGGTGATGTTAAAAGAACTCCAACAGAACCGGCTTTGGCACTTATGACAACAAAATTCAAAAAGGCTTTAAATAACTCTCACTGCATATGTGTTTGGTTTCAGCGAGCAACTGATTGCACACAATTCACGCGGAATTCCCAGCATACACGGACACTATTTGTTAAGTATTTTCAAATACCTTACCCGAAAGACCTGGATGGCCTGAACATATCCACATTCCAGTGCAAGCATTAATACCTATCAGAACAGCAATGAAGTTAGCACAAAACTGAATCGCTTTTTCAGTCAGGTCGGGTTCACTCAAACTTGGTGTTTTCTCTTAGGGAATTCATCTTCAGAAGAACGCTCTGAAAGAGAGGAACACTATGCTAACCCTAATAATAATAATGCCGATACTCTTAATAATAAACCTGCTCTGTAGTCTTGTTTTAGCTTGCTTCACTCCTGTTTTCACAGACGAGGAGCGACATCCAATTCATACCATTACAAAAACAACAACAACAAAAACAACAACAACTACTACTGCTAGTACTACTCCCACTATGTGATAGCAACGTTCAAAGACCATTAGAGTAGATTGAATAAATTTGATATACGGATAGGACAGTTTCCACATCTGAAATGCACAGTCATGAATACAATGTGATGAATTTTGGGGAATTACACAATCACACATACACGCACACTTCTCATCTAATCTGTTCCACTGTTCATGATAGTGTGAGGCGCGTTTATACAATAATGGAAGGTAGGAATGAATGTCAATCAAGTGGATGATTCGGTTTTAATCAAAATGAGAACGTCACATGTCTTTTTCTCAGTGAGACTATTGATTCACCTGTGTGTCCACACATCGGTGTAGGTGTGTGTGTGTGTGTGTGTACATGGATGCATTTAGCTCTCGAGTGTTTGTCAATGTGCATGCCCCGTGTGAGCTGCTGGGGATGGCAATTTTGAGAGGAAACACACATGAGTGAAGAATACATGTCCACAATTAACCCCAAACAAACACAAAGACAAAGCAAGTTGATATGCACAAATGATTCAACACAGAGAGAGAGAAAGATGAACACATCGGAAGGGAGGGAGTACAAGAGAAATACGAATGTTCCAAGTCTAATACAGTGAATGGAAGAAAGAAGTACTACCTCGGGGTGAGCTCAACACCCATGAATGAGCATAAATTTGTGCGCGCATGCATGTACGTACAGATTCGCCGAAGCAAGCACAAATGCGTTTATCTTTGTATTCGTTCCCAATAAGTAATGAATGTTGGTCATCTAACTGGTCCTCTTTATTCTTGATCCGGATTAGGGTGACGGACAAATAGACATTGCTAATTGATTGTGAATGGAAGTTTATTTTTCTATAACTGACGAAGTCTCTCTCTCTATATATGTGCGTGCGCCTTCTTCCCAGATATATGGTGCACTCACGTTGCATCCGGTTGAAGTCTCATTGCTCTGATATCGTGTATTCACATGTGTTGATTTATGGTGGTTAGTTACTGCCTGAATTACAGTCCGTGAATTTCTTTTGGGAGAAATGCACTATAACTTTGGGAATGCGTTCGATGCGTTCCATTCATCTCTCACGCCGATAAAACGAGGTCTGTATGTATCTATAAGTTTGGGTGATTGTGTGCGTTAGCCGTTTTTCTGGAAGGGTCACAAAATATTCTGCAAATCCAAAATGTTTGGCTCATCTAGTTTCGGGCTGATAGATCGAAACGTGATAGATATGGGGGACCATCTTCTGGTCATTAAGGGATGAAGTGATAAATCTGTTTTAAGCAACTCATCGGTTTCTGCATAGGAGTCAGACGATGAGTCCTGGCGATTGTGTTGACCGTTTAGTTGAGACGGTGAAGACCATAGAACTGGAAGAGGTACGGGCACGTCAGCCACAGAAATACTGTTATTTGGGGGTAGCCGGATTGTGTTCTCGGACGGTATGGACCATGTGGTAAGCATCCCGGGATCATGTTTTGCAGAATCGTTTGATGTTTGAGTGTTTATGATTGTTTTCGCTTCAGGAACTGGTTGATTATCTAAAATGTCCAAACCTTGAACCATTGGCTGACTGAGAGTACAATCAAGGACAATAGAAGGTAGAACAGACCGTAACGTGGGCCCTGTTGAATTCAAGGCTCCATCAAGCGTCGAGACCATCGGTGGTTGTGATTGTTGTGGCCGCTGAATAGGTAAGGGCAGTGTGACTGGTTGTGAATGGATGATCGGAGCTCGACGTAGACGTAATTTAGGTGGTTGTCGTGATGGTTTAGTTCGACTTTTGGCCGAATGCTGCTTCCGACGCGGTCGATACTTGTAATCCGGATAGCGTCGCATATGACAATCCCGTAGTCGATTAGCTTCTTCCACAAATGGACTTTTATCCAATTCAGTCAGTGCTTTCCACATGGAGCCCAATTGTTTGCTGATTTCCGAATTGTGCAATTTTGGATTTTCCAGAGCCAGCCGTTTACGTTGTGACCGAGACCACACCATAAATGCATTCATTGGTCGTTTGATGCGTTCGCTTGTGTTCACATTGGCACCGGTGTACGCATTTGTCTCAGTACACCTATCGGTCGTGCGGAAGGGAGGCGTTTGCGATTCATGGGTGATAGTGACCGTGTACAATTGGGTGGGTGTAGTAGTTGTGCATGGATTGAGCACCTCCTGTACCGGTGGCAAAACCACTTTCGAGTAGTCATTGGAGAGCTGATCCATATTGATGTTAAAGGGAATGAGAAAAATGAGGAGAATAATGAGACATCGGAAAAACGAGAACACGCGATTCTTGCATGCTCTCTCTCTCTCGAAGATGAGAAATAGTGAAATGCGTTTGTGGTACAGTGACCTCTGACGCTTTCAGTACCTTTGGTTACTGGTCACTTTCACCTTGGATTCATGGTTATTGAAGATATACCAACATATTTATTCGTGAATTTTACGACAATCTCGAATTATATGATGAAATTACGTTTTATCCTACATTTCGAGTGACAAATATGAAAATGAGGTAGTAGTCTACAACCAGTATGGAGATATGGGTATATTATAGATGCACAACGATTAACTAAATGATCCAAGCTAATTATATTTATCATAAAGGCAAATTATTTTTCATATTTCAAGAAGGCTATATTTAAGTATTTTTTTCTACACCGAAGATTAAAATGATTACATGAATCCTTGAATCGGTTGAGAAACAAAGAAAGAAATAATAAAAAGTTCAAATAAATATACAACTCAATAAATAGTAGATGAAATGGTTAGAAAAGTAACTGGGTGGATGAATTGACTAACTAGCTGAGGCTGTGCACCAAGCGATGTTAAGCAAAGAATAATGAACATGGATAACTAATACACAGGCTCTTCTCAGCGTGACACTGGCCGATAGAAAAGGGTTTTTAGTACTACCGACTGAAGTTAAAAAGCACATTTGTAAATTTTTCTGAACCACACATCACAAATGTATGTGCAGAACACATGCACGAATCATTTCTCAACTTTACTTAACAATTTATGTGGTGTATGCAGTGTTGTGAATCTTTGACACAGTGAAATTTTATCAATCCAGCTTTTTTGCGGAGCATCCACCACAACACACAGATGATGTATCCCAGGAACGGACGACGAGCTGTAAAATTTTGTCTAGCCCCGATGAACGTGGTTGGAACATTTTGTGTACAAACTTTAGTGACCAGATATTCTACGCTTACCTGAAACCCGTGTTCCGTGAACTATTTTCTAGACACGTGTATGGGGCATTTATTTTTAATTTGGTCAAGTGCCCGAGAAAACACGATGCAACTTGCATGACAAGGCAGTGTCAGGGAGTTTCTTCAAAATTAAACGGAAGGAACTAAATAAGTGCTGATGTACTCAAAACTAATGCGATTGGTGAAACAATTGATTCAAACATTTACAAGGAAAGATGTACATGTATCTCATACGTGTCTACTGTAGGACCAATGAGTAGTTTATTCTATATACGAGGCTTTTTGTGGGTGAAACAGCAGGAGAGTAAATTAGCTTTTCAAGTTCAGCATGGAAGAGGTGTAATTGCATGCACAACCCACAGTTCACTCATTCAACCAATCATACACCTGCATGGAATACCTGACGTAACGGAAGACTTTTGATTGGAGATTACAAGACATGATTTGTGCTGTTGCCGGAGTGAAACGCAATTGAATATTATTAAGAGCCAGAGTGAAACAAATATGATGGGAATGGGGTGTGGTGGAGGGAGTGCGGCGCTTGGGTGTTGATTAATCAGTGTATATGTATCAATATTGGGCTGTCAGGAGTAAGAGATTAGGATGAGAAAACCTTCGATTGAACTCTCGGAGTAATACTTTTTGACAACTTTCTTGACTACTTTAATTACTCTGAGTAGTAATCTTAACTATTCTGCACCGAACGAGGGTAGGAGGGAGAGATCTACAAATCGCTGTGATTAGACGTATATTTCAGTAATGCGATCTGTTGTACTACTGCTTTAGTTATCGCCAATAAATCCTGCAACTTATGCCTGATGTTTGCTGAGGTTTACGTGAAATTGGGCCTCATTTTCCTTTTTTCTTTGATTTTTATCTCGTTCGATTTAGTTTGTTTGTGACTGCACGAACTGCATGAAGGTTCACTCAAACCAGATGGCAACCAGTGACGAGTAGATCTGACGTTCTCTGTGCGCGATGTTAACTGTTTCTCTCTGTGCATGTGGTTGCACTCCTTTGTTCTCCACTCTTCCCCTATGTGGCCATATATGGATGTGTGTGTAACGATACTCCACATTTTGTGCATAGTTATCGGACAACCCCTTTACCAGTTTCTTTTAAAGGGATGTTGATTGACAGGAAAGCATCACAAGCATGCTCTCGCCGCACTCGCTTATGAGGAGGAGCGTCCACTGAGCATTTTTAATCATGTTTGAAGTGCATGTGAACCCGTAAACTATCAGAACCACAAACCGGACCCATGTTGGAGGAGGCCATTCATTACTATTTACTCATCAGACCCGTGTGAAAAATAACCGTCAGCTCCTCATCCTCACCATATGTGTTGAACTATCACTCAATGTTGAAAAGCTTATCCAATTCATACAGTTGATGGAACGTGATCTTGGTTCCAGAGCTCTGACTTTGATATGCATCGCCGAAATCTATTCCGTAATTCTGCGTAATTCAAATAACTGACAAGACGTCTTAGACAATGAAACAAAGCGTGACGTGCAAAAAACTCATTTTTTGGTGTTCAAATAACTATAGACGAATCTCAAGCATGCATTTCCCATAAGACGGAATGATCATATTCCGAACTACGTACCATTTCAAACATATCATTTGTTTTACATGCGAGGAACTTTGACCATTTAGGTGCGGTTGCTGAGCTTTCAACTTTCAGAATAATATAACCCGTCATAATTTTATTCATAGAGAAGTATATGATTAAATAGAGTATATTTTTTGAAAAACAAACAGTCGCGAACGGGCTCAATTTCATTGATTCATATTCATACCTATACATCACAATATATAACATTACTCAAATGTTCTAATCCGTCCTGTGCATGAAAGCCTCGTTCACGTTCAAGTCAGTCATGTGTTTGCCATTAAAGGACAAAGTTCCCGACTCAGCGGTCACATATCGTGTATACTCATCTATTTGTTACTGCGATATAACGTATATAGGTCGCACGATCAGATGATTGTCCGAACAGATTTGTTAACACCGTGCTGTCTGACTGAATACCGGAACGACAAAGTCACTCGTCAGTGCAGTGGTTTCACACCCAGCTGAAACAAATCACACCACGAACCTGACTGAGGCTTTCCACCTAACCTCACCCCACTCCCCCCCAATAAAACGTTCGTGGCCGATTATCAACTTTATTGTTTTCTATTCGTTGCCGGGGTGTCCAAGCGGTTTAAGACTCCAGACTCAAGAGCTATCTTCTAGGTGTTCTGCTTCACGAATTTGGGAGTGGGTTCGAATTCAACCTCTGACACTAATTTTGGCGGTTTTGGCCCGGTGGTAAAATCACCAACTTATCACCCCGGAGGACGTGTGTTCGAATGCCGACAACGTTGCCTAACTTACCATTGTTTATTGTAAGACGGAACGTTGATTGGTCCTTATCCGTTTCCTGAAATTTGTATTTTTGTCTATTTAATAAAAGGAAGTAAAAAATATTGAAAAAAAATACAGCAGTAGCAGAACCGGTGGGATTTTGTTGGCCCAACCCCCCCCCCACTGTGTATCTTCAAAACAATTTGTGCAAGCGCAAAGGCTTTCCTGGCCTCCTCCACTCACCCCTCCCACACACACACACACACACACACACCGAATCACGAGTAATCTCGATGATCGAATGAGTGAACGGACAGTAATGTGATCGCGGTGAATCCGATTCCAGGTTTCATGAACAAAAATAGTAATAATCCTAGCAATCTGCAATGTAACTTTTTTTCTATTCTCCAAAGACGTTTTTATCCGTAAGCGGTGATATATATATATATATATAAATTTATTTATTAGTATGGATACGAATCGGTGAAGTGAGATTGTTCGTCACTGTTTCCTTTGAAATGTGCTCTGTAAGAATATGCAGACCATAGTTCACTGTTGATGTTGCTGAGTTCTCCGAGCTGAAAGTGTTGTTTGCAGACGTTTCGTAGCCAAACCAGGTAACCTCATCAATGCGACTTCGGGGAAGATGTTGCTTAGCTTGGCTATGAAACATATGCGAACAACATTTCCAGTTTGGAGAACCTACCAACATCAATATTCGCATCCCGAGCTACAATCATTCCACAACATTTCCGATGGTTAACTTTCTATCAGAAAGCATCAAACGTTCACCAACATTTTCAATTTTCAACAATATATAACTTTGTTTAGCTTCCGTGTTACCCAGAGTTTACTAACTTCAAGACTGGATAATTTTCTGCCTTCACGTGAAAAGGATGTCATTTGGTAGTATTTTAAATAACGATTTCATCAGTTAGATATTGTTATAGCGGAAACATCCTTTCCCTTTGATCCAGTTGAATAAAAGAAGTAACACAATGTGAGCAGAATTGCTATTGGCCATCAATTTCGCGTGCTCTCAGTCAGCTGTCCACGCACATTAAATAGGCCAAATTTTATCATAGGAATACCATATATGGACATTTACAATTACATGAGGTCAAGCAGAAGGCACTGAGTGGTTGAGTCATTACCAAAGTCATTTGAGTATGAGTAGAAGAGAAGGAGGGGTGGGAAATGTTAGCATAGAACACAGTTACGTAATGAAAACCGATTAGCAATGGTGGAAAGAGAGTTAGACATAGTTACGTAATACGAAAAAGATGCAACCAGAAATGAATTCGAATAGACGCGGAAAGTTCACCGAGTAAAAAAATGTTCAACCAAGTAGGTCAACGAGAGTTACGTAATATGAAAATGAGAAGAGCGAAGTGTCAACGATGATGTAAGAGAACGGTCGTCATTTACATTTAAAGGAGACGATGTAATTGCACGGGTTGGTCGTCGGCTTCGTACTACAGTTGAGTCATTCTATCCTGCCGCGAACCTGATCATGATTCACAGAACAATGAACTCATTAATGCGGTCAAACATAGACAGATCCAATGATTCGGTCACCTCCAATTGCATTTATCTTTTGCAATGTACTTGTGGTTCGCGGTACGTCGGAAGGACAGAACAATGACCGTCGA